CTCGAATTGTGATCCCTCTATGTGTGCCCTCTGTCAATACATCGCAGGGTCTCTTCCACCTTCGATTTTGTTCTCTCCTTTGGCAATCGACCTTCATCCACCCACTCTTGGGTCACACCTAGATGAAGCATTGCTCTAGGACAGTCCGACGCCTAGTAACTCCCGAAGTTGCCCGACTTCACTGCAATTAGTGCACCATTGTCTGGATCCTAGGCCTCTGCCCCTACCAACATAATTTTCGCTGTGCATCGCTTCCTTCATGGCAACTTGAATGGCAACACCGTGGCATATTCTTCAAGAATACCCGCCTCTGCATCCTCTTGCCCCGTGCCAAGGCCTTCTGAACCCAACTTCGCCTCCGCAAGTTGAGTCGCCTTAGTTCCTCCATCAAATGCTTCTCCGAGATAAGGTACATGTGCCCAGAAGCTCCCTTCGTCTTTGGCACCATGCAAGATGAGTCCGCTCCGTCAGAATGAAGGACCCATGGAACAACATGATCCTGCTCTTGCCTCTGCAAGAGTTTATGTCCTTAACCTCTGTCCAAGGAAAACACTATGCCTCCGCTCCATGTTCCATCTTCTATGCCGGTTCCCTTCATGCGGCTTGGGTACTTCGCCAAGTTACACCCAAGTTGCTTCGCTCCTTATTTTTGCATTGAGTTGATGGTGGCCCTCGCGCCCACCATTCCACGGGTCAGCCCTCCCTTTAGTCCGATCTTCATATCGACTCTAAGTGTGCCTTCATTTGTGTTGCTTTGGGTCGCTCCCCCACTTGATCTCGCAATGCATCCACCAATGCATTCTCTCAAGCAAGATCATGCGACGACTCCTCGCCGCTTGCTCGGTCCATTGAGCTTCGTGGAGTTGTTGTTTGTTGAGATACTCCTCCTCAACATGTTCAGTCTGTTACACATAATTCTCCCTCTAGAGAGCCAGGACTTATCCCTCCTGGATATCTATCCCATTTGAGCAACATCTCTCTTCGTTTTGGAGACCACCATCCCCTTGGACTACTCTGATTTGCTGAACAAATTGTGCATTGTTCTGCCTCCTGCAAACGCACTTGCTAGATTGCGACTCCACGTCAATACAGCCCCCGCTGCACCACTCAAGGCCTAGCAACATGCTGAACTCACTGCACACTTCAGCCTCCTACGGACGTATCCTTCACATGCCGAAGAGAAAGTTTTAGTGCTCCATGGCGCCGAGTTTCGGTCGCCTTGGGATGGCCGCGAACATTCCATCGTCCGCATACAAGCCCATGCATGAGTACCGAATTCTTCGAGTTAGCAATTCCTCTCACCTCTATGAGCTTTGCACAACTCTTTCGGTTGCCGAGCAACTCATTCCATCTTGCATGGTCTCATCCTTTACCAAGCACCTCGCTTGCCTTGAGCACCATCAAATATAGTTGTCAACGTTGAGTCGTGGCTCAAACTCAGCCATCCCAACCTTTGTGCGCTCCGCATTCTTCCAAGATTGCTTGTTCTCGTGGTGCCTCTTGTGCGAAGGGTTGGCCATTCCTCTGAATGCCAATCTCAGATGCCCGCTAAACCGAGCGACTACTTTTCCCTACATTTTTATGCTCGTTTTCCCTCAAACGGTCGCACGTGTGCTGACTGCCCTCAACGTAGCCCCGCTAGATCCCTCACGTTTGCATGCTAAGTGTTTCTATGAGTGCTTTTCCCGCTCTGATACCATCTGTCACGGACTTAGCTGGTATTACCTAAGTCATGCTGCATCCTTGCATGTCCGTCCGTAAAGGTCAACCTCCTCGAAGCCTCCTATGATCCCTTAGGACCCACAAAAGAAAAAACGGGTTAAAGAAAATGACTCACTCGGGATCCACAAACAAACATTACAGGAAATACTTCATAGGCAATGCAAATTACAAACAAACTTTACAAGCTCTAAATAGTTGCATAACAAAGGTTCAAGAATCTCTCACAAGTGTCCACATGACACAACCTTTATTTACAAGCCTAAAGCGGTCACCAAACCCAACTAAAATAGGACTATTAAGCTTTCGGTTGTCCCTCTACATGCTAGGTAAAGTATGAACATATCAAAAGAAACGGACATACATAAGCATTACATCAAATATCCTATTTAGAAGTTTGTTTGTTCGGTGTAGTAAGCAGTACCTACAAACTTCCATAAACTCAGGAATCCTGAGTTGATCGCTTTTCTTCCCTTGTATTCTTCCAATAACAACTCTTGTTATATGCATGGCAATGCTTATCCCAAACCCTACAGGGAGCAGGTTCATCGCATACATAGCAATAACACTGCAAACAATCAGCGAAGTTGCCTAGTCTATCAGGAAACAACCATATAATTATAATAACATTTATGGACGAAATCATAAATAACAAAATAAGGCCTAAAATGGTGATGCGTCCACAATGCATAAGTCTAAAGCGAGTTTAACAATAATATTTGAAATAATAATTAATACAAATTATGCGGAAAATTTTCTTATAAATATTTAATAGAACTAATAGACAGACCCTAATGGTAGATGGTAAACAAAGATCATTGGCACATGGTTTTGCTACATTCAGTGTGTCTGCTTCTTTCCAATGCATAACAGATACAAATTGAGAGATACTTGGTTGTAGCTGCATGACAAGAACTTGCACTTTTGTTTGGTATCTCCCTTCTTTTCCTTTGTTAGGGTGCTAACCCACATCTCAAATTTTGTCTGAATTATCTAGGTTAACAAGGGAAAAAAAAAAAGAAAGGATCCATAGATTCAGATACCAGAGGTCAAAAGTAGGTGAAATTTTGGTCCATGGTTCTATAACTATAACTGATGAAACTAGTAAATTCAGGATACCTAAAGTTACAATGTTTCCCATATCAGCTGATCTTTATCATTCAGATGGGACTTATATTAAATCCCATATTAACAGGAATAGGATGAGAAAGATAGTAGTGATTGAAAGGACTGTTGATCTTGAAATTTAATGGACTTTTGAAAAAAGAGATCATCTAAAAACATATTTCATTTGTCTAAAACAGAAACAATAATCTTGTTTCGTATACCTTCTAGTCATCCTGCTTCCACCATCACCAATATTGTGGAGGTAACACAAAATACTGCACTAATATTTTCTAAGATTATCAATACAACATATACCTTAGAGTAGCTAATAAAATTTACTGATATTTCTGCCAAGTTTCTCAATGTCCACTAAATACTTTTTTTCCTTTTCTGCTCTGCTACAAGCATGATGCCATTGTTTCCTAGCAAGTTTCTGAAATGAAAGGAAGTGCCTATTTAATTGTTTTTTTAGCCCATATTCCATGGAAAACTTTAAAAGAAACTTTGACATGTAAAATCCCATCTTAAAATTTGCATGAAGAAAACCTTACAAAGAAAATGATTCATGATTGTCACAGAGTTATGAATTTAGAAAATATAAACTAGAATCATTTGGAGAAAACTGTTTCCATCTTTGACCCACATTAGGAAAAAAATCTTTACACTGATTTATGTGTCATCATCAATGATTTTCTTTTCAATGAAATAATTCATATATGAACCAAACTTAAATTGAGAAGGCTCCATAGAACCGATTCTTTTAGGTTTACTAATAGCTAGCTTTACTCTCTGCTCTCTTGCTCTTTCCTCCACTTCTGCTTCTCCTCACAATTGAATTTCAGGCAAGACTGCTGCTTGCCACTTAATCTAGAAGGTCAATTAATAAATAGGTGGACCTATTCTACAGCATACATTAAACAGCACAGATCAACTAGATGGGACTGACAAACTTCTTGCAATTTTAAAGTGTTATTCCCACCAAATACTGCAGCAGAATAATTTTAAAGAGTCAGTCAAGATTACAGAATTGTTGTAAATTTTGGCATATTCCAGTAAGAAATTAATAGTTCGATCAATTTCTATTTAGTTTTATATTGAAATTGTTATAACAAGACCATGTAAAATCTAAGTGAGCAAAATTACTCAGTTTCGGGAGTGTGCTATGAGAAGATATAGACGAGAAATATAAATTAGCAAAAATTACTCTGTTTCAGGAGTGTGCTATGAGAAGATACAAACCTCGTCTAATGAGAATGGTTGTCAACAAGCTTATCAACTATACACATGCAAGGGGTAACCTAGTAGTCTAGTGGGACAAGGCTTCTACTAATCCAATGTCCAGAAATGATCAAATATAGGCAACCCTTGCTCCACATGCAGACAGGTTTCTCACATCTCGAGACCTTGGCTACCCATGTTGTAGCATAGCAGTGCCACCTAGCTACATGCTCCTTCTAGAAAATGCAACTTATTACTGTATGTATTTAGTATACCAGATCCACGAAACTCTGTACGTAGCATAAACTTATATCAAATCATTGTTATTCACTTTGGAAGGTGATTATCAAATTCCACAAGGATAAAATTAGATTGCTTGCTGCTTACAGTAGCAAGGCATTCAAAATTTAGCTGCTAAAGAAATTTTTATTATTATTCTAACATATATGAAGATCAATTATAAGTATGTGGATTATTATGGATAAGCAATACAAGAAGAATCCTGTGGTGTGTATTGCCCCTTTTTGCTTCTCACCTTTTTATAAAATTAAGTTTATGAATGATCAACAAAAATGAAATTCTTAGGCTACCAATGAGAAAAAAGGGAAGAAAAAAAAACTTAGCCTCTGGGTAACCATATCATCAATGGGGCTTCTTGAATTTACTGACATGAACAGTCTCTGTGAAACCAAGCTAATTATTTGTTAAATTCAAACTTGGCCTAACTAAATTTGGACTGGACATAAACCTAACTTGATTAATAACTTTAACATATCTGGCATTTCAAGATTTATTCCATATATTTTAAGGCAAAAACAACTAGAAAAAGATTGTACAATTTATTCTGTGGATTCATAGAATAAATTTGTAAATCTTATTGTTGCAATTTGTGAAATTATTTTTTAAACAACTCCGTGAGGCTTGAAGGAATGAACTAATTTGTGAGCAAGATGCAATTATAACAACAACAGTTCTTTCTTCTGAGGATAAAGAATGCAAATAATACTTTCACATAGTAAGTAATACAAACCAACTAATATTATAAGGATTGAGGAAAAGAGAAAATGACCTTCTGGCAGTGGATGGGATGAGGTGTCTTGCTAAAGGGGTATTTTGCACACAAGTATCTTGAGTGGGGATAATCTCTACAAGCAACCTGCATTGTCAACTTCAAATTTATAATTTGAAATTTTATTTATTCTTATCTCATTGAAAAAGCAAGTCTTCTTATGCCAGCAAAAAGATTTTCATGCACATGCAATAGAATAAGACAATTAGATGCATTTCTGCAGTTTGATGTAAAGAAGGAAAACAGATGACACTCGATATCGTTAATACTGATTGTACATAATGCAACAGAGAGCATGAAAACTTTCTTTCAAGGGCATAAAATTATCCTCTTGATGGGTCCATGATTCGCAACTTGCTCGACTTCATCCTACCGACGGAATTAATTATTAATTCGTCACAAAGTTTACCCCAATATCCAGATTTGGCGGACCAAATTGACCATCCGAGTGAGAGCTCGGCAAGGTATCTGCCCCTATAAAAGTCTTCTCCAGCGCTTTCCATCGCGAAAATCAAATTTGCTGCAACAAACACCAATATTTCGAGATTTTTCTAGGGTTTCTATGTTGATTCGGTTCCTTGGACCAAAAACAAAGGGAAAAGAAGGAGCAGAGAGAGAGAGAGAGAGAGAGAGAGAGAGAGAGAGAGAGAGAGGCAATAGAATAGCACTTGGCCTCGTTCTGCGACCACGGCGACGTCGTCGGACAGTGGGGGATCATCGAGGTAGAGCCTACGTTTGAGGTCCAGTTGGTCGTCCAAGAAAGGGTTGTAGGGAAGGATGAAGCAGTCGTCGCCATCCTCGTCCTCGTCATCCACCTGTGCCTCCACTTTCTCCACCTTCACATATTCCCTCCTGTTCCTCCTACCCACCGTCGTGGCCATCTTCTTTGCCTGCATCTCTTCCTTCTTGCACTCTTCTTCGTCTTCATCGGTAGAGGAGATCTCGATCACCACTATCGCCATTGCAATCGAAGGCACAGAAGAAAGAAGTTAGTCGCGCAATTGCGCGTATTAATTCTTAGAGGCTTTTCAGATACCCAAATCCTATTTATCTCATTATTTTATTATAGTAAATAATTAAATATGTCCCTTCAAATATTTAGAGGTAACATCTTTCAAATTAAACTGTAGTTTTCATTAGCTACTTCGAATTATAAAAAATATAAAGTTCCTCAAAATGATTGAATATATATATATAATATTTAAAAAGATAAATATAGAAAATCATAGTCTAACTACGTAGGACTTGTAAGGATGTTGCTTTGACCTAACTATAAATAGTTTTCGGAGTTGACTTATATCCCTTGATCTCCTACTTAGTAAACGTACCATGGATTGATCGAAGAAACGGGGTAAAATAGAATTATTCACAATCGAATCATGGCATCGTCCACCTTGAGATCTCATTCATCGACTCCAATAAAGACCAGTTGATTCAGTTGAGATTCTCAAACTTCTTTGCTTTAAATCCGTAGTCAATTCACGTAACAATACACGATACCAAATGGCAATTCCAATTGCGATCTTCGTATCGGAATTAATGGCATCATTCACTAATTTCCGAAATCATAGCTACTCTCGAGAAATGATTTGTCAAAGAATTCATGAAAGACATCTACATCGAATTTGGATGAACAATATGCATTAGTATGCAAGTAGTGGCATAAGGTTGATACATACAATTTTTTTGAATCCACCAATTGATCTGCACCAGTGTAACGTATCAGGGTTTGGGTTTGAATCATAAGTGATCCGACCCCATAACACGCACCTTCTCCTGATCACAACATTTAATGAGAATAAAGTAATAAATAATATAATAAAAGCCACCCACTACTCTCCTCATTATTTCCCATGTACTTTATCATTATATATTTATACTCATTTGTGACAATTCCATGTATTATTATATATTATATATATGTATACATAATAATAATAATAATAATAATAATAATAATAATAATAATAATAATAATAATAATAATAATAATAATACATGGATTTATATATATGAGTTATATCTGCCACCACTTGACCTGGAGAGGAAGGGTCGAGCAACCACCCATGGAGGAGGACAGCAAGAAGAGCCCATCCTCATCCCGATCTCCGATGGCGATAGAGGAGGAGCAGGGGTTTCCCGCGGGTCTGACGGCGGAGGCGTACGCGGATCTGCGACACAGGGTGGAGTCGCACCACCGGTACCAGGTTGGGCCGGGACAGTGCTCCTCCCTCGTCGCACAGCGGATCCGAGCCCCTGCCGCCACCGTCTGGTCGGTGGTCCGGCGGTTCGACCGCCCCCAGGTCTACAAGCACTTCATCCGGAGCTGCGCCGTGAATGGCGGCGGGGAGATCCGGCCGGGGTGCCTCCGCGAGGTGAGTATCATCTCCGGCCTCCCGGCGAGCACCAGCACCGAACGGCTGGACGTCCTCGACGAGGCCCTGCGGATGACCGGCTTCACCATCGTCGGTGGCGAGCACCGGCTCCGGAACTACCGGTCCGTCACCACCGTCGACGAGCTCCGAGGGAGCGGCGGGACGTGGGCGGTGGTGCTGGAATCTTATGTGGTGGACGTGCCGGAGGGCAACACGGAGGACGACACCAGGCTCTTCGCCGACACCGTCGTCCGCCTCAACCTCCAGAAGCTCGCGTCCGTGGCAGAGGCGCAGCCCTTGCCGGCGGCGGCAGCGGTGTAGGGGGAGCTCAGAGAACTGACCCCGCCGCTCACGACCCGAGGAGAGAGGTGGAGAGTTTGCCTTCGGGGATGGCGATGTGACGTAATAATGACGTGTTTCAAATGGTTACATTACCAAAAACACGCTTCTATTCTTCCAATATCGCAGTAGACCCTCCGCGGTCGGTCTCAGTCACCCATCTTTTGCGGCCACAGGCGATGTTCCAGTCATTCTCTTCTTCTTTCGGTCTCTTTCCCTTTGCTTGTTTGTGGTGGTGACATAGATTGGATCTCAGAAAAGCTTCCAAGGAAACGCTTGTTCTACAATAAACCACCACAGCTGTGTGTGTGTGCGCGCGCCTGAGAAAAGACTAAAGATATGGTGCTGATGCATCTCATGTGGCCTATCATCTTATTATTATATGATGGCATCTCTTTGGCTGTTGATATGTACTCCAAGAAGTAGTAAGAGTATAGCATGATAGAGAGGATGATACAGTACTACAATACTTGCTTGCAGATATACTTTGTTCTCCACAACACACACCACTACTGATATAAAGAAGCAATAATTTCTTTGTTGTAGAAAGAGACATAGATTTGTGATCTCACGTAGATTTTAATTAGATAGATGCTTAATTTTATTTTTTTTTCTATTCAAGATTGTTTAAATTATAAGGAGTTCTCTGTAGTTCCTGTGTTGATCAATTCATTTGCCATCAACAAAATAGAAAGAGATCAATTTAACTTGTAAGTGGGTTACTAAACTAAGAATAAAAGCAAGAGCATGAGAGAGAATATTTCATTGCAGTGGTATTTTGATATATGGATCTGAAAGAATCAAGAGAGGGAAAAAGAATTTGAAATGTGGCTTGATAATATAAAAATCCCAATCTAAGAGACAAAAACCTAAAGTAATAACTTTCCTTGTGCACATATCTATCCTACTATCCAAACAGCAATCTTTTAGGGTTTTATGAGCAAAGCATGATACACAAACCTGTTTAAGTGGTAGGTAATCCCTTGGAATAGCTAATGCGTAACGTTGTGGCTTTGCCTGAGACTCTTCTAAGAAATCAAGACTGAAAAGGACCAAAACTCATAAAGATTTAAATATGTATAGGTAGAAGACTTCCTAGGCCATGCAGTGTCATGATTAGGATTCTAAAGCCCAAGGAATACCGATCCAATCTAGAAGGATGAAGCTATCTAGTTATCTGAACCAAGGATAACCATGCATAAAACCTATCGAATGGCAAGAAAGTGCTGGAAATGTAGAAGTCTGAATCATCAGGCCTATGTATGGAGCCTTTCTTTTTCTCTACATGCTGATTAAGAGAGGGGCATATCTTCCATATTATAATGATCGAGATGGAGAATTGCATGGGATATGACGGTGCCTTCTCAAAGACCGTAGTTTTTAGGTCAGTGGCTTGCACTATAGACAAATGAAGATAATCTTTGCAGCAAACAAAAGTAGCAGCAGAAAAGCTTAGAATATCATATCACCCACTGAATCAGGAGGAATAACTCATCTTCACAGAATGTTGTAGAAGAGGAAACCAATGAATTTGAAGAGGGAGGGCATAAAAATAACTACATGGATGTCACAGTGATGGCATTAATTTTGTATTCTTTCATGATGACCTAATCCTGGTTTCAGTATCTTTCAGCTGTCCTAGATTATCCACTGATACTGGACGATGATTTGGAGTTCCGAGTCCTTAAATTATCCCCACTAATATATGTCATCTCTTCAGGGAAGATAGTGGCCCTGGGTGATCACATTTTTAAAGGCAAAGGCAGCTGCATTCCTTGATGGCATTGTCTTGTGAGAAGGACTTGAATCAAGTTGGCAACTTGGCCATAAAGAAAAGAGGGGAGTGATGAAAGCAAAAGGAATTCCCATTTAGAACACAAGTGCTCATCTCGAGTGCATCTACCCAGAAGGACAAAACGAAGCAAGCACAAAAGACTTGTCATGTGCTACTGGAAGAACATGGTACACAATACACCCATTCTTGAATGGTGTCATCGACATGCCAAAAGATGTGGATGCTTGAGGGGATGGGCAAGAGAAAGAAATAGGTGTTGCATCCACCACAGGATGACTAATTCGTAGTTCATGAGAAGAGTAAGGTGTTGAGAGAATGAGTCAATTTTGATGGCTGTTTTGGCGTCTATTATTCACTAAAGAAATAAAAAAGGGAAAAAACGTTTCTCCTAGCGGTTTAATGTTTAGACAAACTTTGCTGAAGAAAATAGAAACAAAAAAAAAGTAGAAAGGTATTATCTTATATTATAAAAGAAAACATAAACAGAAGAGTGAAGAAAATAAATACCAAATAAAAAACAATGGGGAGCAGAATAATGTATAGATAAATTTTGCTGAAGAAAAAAGAAACAAAAAAAAAGTAGGAAGGTATTATCTTACATTATAAAAGAAAACATAAACAGAAGAGTGAAAGAAAAGAATAAGGAAAAAAAACAAATGAAAAATAATGGGGTGAGAGAGGCTCGAACTCTCGACCTCAGGATTTCTCAGAAGCTATGAGACCTAC